ATAATGGTTGTACCAGTCTGCAATCCCACCAACAGTGAACTAGGGTCCCCTTTTCCCCACACCCTCTCCAACATTTGTTGTTTGTTGCTTTGTCTATTATAGCCATCCTGACTGGTGTAAAGTGGTATCTCATTGTGGTTTTAATTTGCATATCTCTGATAGCTAACGATATTGAGCATCTCTTCATGTCTCTCTGAATATTCTGTATGTCCTCTTTAGAGAACTGTCTGTTCAAGTCCTTTTCCCATTTTTGAATTGGGTTGGGTGTCTTCCTAGAGTGGAGTCATGTAAGTTCTTTGTATATTCTGGAGATTAAACCTTTGTCTGAGGTATCATTGGCAAATATGTTTTCCCATACAGTTGGTTGTCTTTTTAGTTTAATACTGTTTTCTTTAGCCATGCAGAAGCTTTTTATTTTGATGAGATCCCATTTGTTTATTCTTTCCTTTATATTTCTTGCTCTAGGGGACATATCCGTAAAAATGTTGCTGCGTGGAATATCTGAGATTTCCTTGCCAATGTTCTCCTCTAGGACTTTAATGGTGTCACGGCTTATATTTAATTCTTTTATCCACCTTGAATTTATTTTGGTGTGTGGTGTAAGTTGGTGCTCAAGTTTCATTTTTTTGCATGTATCTGTCCAGTTCTTCCAACACCATTTGCTGAAGAGGCTATCTTTACTCCATTTGATGTTACTGCCCCCTTTGTCGAATATTAATTGACTGTAGAGGGTTGGGTTGATTTCTGGGCTCTCTGTTCTGTTCCATTGGTCTATGTGCCTGTTTTTATGCCAGTACCAGGCTGTTTTGATTACAGTGCCTTTGTAATAGTTTGATATCATGTATTGTGATCCCTCCTACTTTGTTCTTCTTTCTCAAAAGAGCAGCTGCTATTCGGGCTCGTTTATGATTCCATATAACTTTTTGAAATGTTTGTTCTATGTCTGTGAAATACGCCATTGGTACTTTAATAGGTATTGCATTGAATCTGTATATTGCTTTGGGTAGTATGGACATTTTGATGATGTTAATTCTTCCAATCCATGAACAAGGTATATGTTTCCATTTGTTTGTGTCTTCCCTGATTTCTTTCTTCAGTGCTGTGTAGTTTTCTGCATACAGGTCTTTTACCTCTTTGGTTAGGTTTATTCCCAGATATTTTATTTTTCTTTTTGCTATATCGAATGGGATTTTTTCCTTGATTTCTGCTTCTGCTGATTCATTGTTTGTATATAAAAATGCCTTTGATTTCTGGATATTGACTTTGTATCCTGCTGTTTTGCCAAATTCATTAATTATTTTGAGCAGTTTTTGGGTAGAGTCTATAGGATTTTCCATGTACACTATCATGTCATCTGCAAACAGTGACAGTTTTGTTTCCTCCTTTCCTATTTGGATGCCTTTTATTTCCTTTTCCTGCCTGATCGCTGTGGCCAAAACTTCTAATACTATATTGAATAGAAGTGGTGAAAGTGGACAGCCTTGTCTTGTTCCTGATCTTAGTGGAAAAGCTTTTAGTTTTTGCCCATTGAGTATGATATTGGCTGTAGGTCTCTCATAAATGGCCTTTATTATATTGAGGAATGTTCCCTCTATTCCCACTTTGCTGAGTGTTTTTATCATAAATGGGTGTTGTACCTTATCAAAAGCTTTTTCCGCGTCTATTGATATGATCATGTGGTTTTTGTCTTTGCTTTTGTTTATGTGATGAATTACATTTACTGTTTTGCGAATGTTGAACCATCCTTGCATCCCTGGGATGAATCCCACTTGGTCATGGTGTATAATCTTTTGGATATATTGTTGGATGCAATTTGACAATATTTTGTTGAGGATTTTAGCATCTATGTTCATCAGCGATATTGGCCTGAAGTTTTCTTTCTTTGTTGTATCTCTATCTGATTTTGGAATTAGGATGATGCTGGCTTCATAAAAGGAGTTTGGGAGTTTTCCATCCTTTTGGATTTTTTGGAATAGTCTGTGAAGAATGGGGGTTAGCTCTTCCTTAAATGCTTTGTAGAATTCTCCTGTGAATCCATCTGGTCCGGGGCTTTTGTGTGATGGGAGTTTTTTGATTACTGCTTCAATTTCTTTTGCTGTTATTGGTCTATTCAGGTATTCTACTTCTTTTTCATTGAGTTTTGGGAGATTATATTTTTCTAGAAATGTGTCCATTTCCCCTAGGTTCTCAAGTTTCTTGGCATACAGTTCTTCATAGTAATTTCTTACAATCCTTTCTATTTCTGTGGTGTCAGTTGTAATCTCTCCTCTTTCATTTCTGATTGTGTTTATTTGTGTCCATTCCCTTCTTTTCTTGATGAGCCTACTTAAAGGCTTGTCTATTTTGTTTATTTTTTCAAAGAACCAACTCCTGGATTCATTGATCCTTAGAATTGTACTTTTAGTCTCTATTTCATTTAGTTCTGCTCTTGTCTTAGTTATTTCCTTCCTTCTGGGCTGCTTTTGTTGTTGTTCCTCGAGTTCTTGCAGGCGTAGAGTAAGGTCATTTGTTTGAAATGTTTCTGTTTTCTTTAGGTAGGCCTGTATTGCTATAAACTTCCCTCTCAGGACTGCCTTGGCTGTATCCCATAAGTTTTGGGTTGTTGTGAGATCATTTTCATTTGTTTCCAGAAACTTTTTGATATATCCCCTAATTTCATTCTTGACCCATTCATTGTTTAATAGCATACCATTAAGTCTCCATGATTTTGGGTGTTTTGGGTTTTTTCCTTTGGGGTTGGTTTCCAGTTTCAGTCCCTTATGGTCAGAGAAAATGCTTGGTATGATTTCAATATTCTTGAATTGGTTGAGGCTTGTTTTGTGCCCTATCATGTGGTCTATCTTTGAGAATGTTCCATGTGCATTTGAAAAGAATGTGTATTTAGCTTCTTTGGGGTGAAGAGCTCTGTATATATCAGTTAGGTCCATTTCATCAAGGGTGTTGTTTAATGCCGCAATGTCTTTGTTGATATTTTGTTTGGAAGATCTGTCCATTTTTGATAGTGGGGTGTTAAAATCCCCCACTATAATTGTGTTGCTGTCTATATCTTTCTTGAATTCCTCTAAGATTTTCCTTATATATTTTGGTGCTCCTATGTTGGGTACATATATATTTATGATGTTAATGTCTTCTTGGTGGATTCTTCCCTTGAGTATTATGAAGTGACCTTCTGGGTCACTCTTTATGGCTCTTTTTTTGAAGTCTATTTTGTCTGATATGAGAATTGCTACCCCCGCTTTTTTTCTTGTCCATTTGCTTGGAAAATTTGTTTCCAGCCTTTCACTTTTAGTCTGTGATGGTCTTTTGTCCGGAGGTGGGTCTCTTGTAGGCAGCATATGTGTGGGTCATACTTTCTTCTCCATGACGCTATTCTGTGTCTTTTGATTGGAGCATTTAATCCATTTACATTTAAGGTTATTATTGATAGGTACTTATTCATTGCCATTTTTGTACCTGTGTTCCTCTCTGTCTGTCTCTTTTTTTTCCTTTCCTTAAAGCAGACCTTTTAGTATTTCTTGTAGAGCTGGCTTGGTGGCAGCAAATTCTTTTAGACTTCTTTTGTCTTAGAAGCTCTTTATTTGGCCTTCTGTCTTGATTGAGAGCCTTGCTGGGTAAAGTAGCCTTGGTTGTAGGCCTCTGTTTCTCATTACTTGGAATATTTCTTGCCAATCTCTTCTTGGTTGGAGTGTTTCCATTGAGAAGTCAGTGGCTAACCTTACTGGGACGTCCTTGTATGTTATTTCTTTTTTCTCCCTTGCTGCCTTTAAGATTCTCTCTTTGTCTTGGAATTTTGCCACTTTAATGATGTGTCTTGAAGTGGGCCTCTTTGGGTTCCTCTTGAATGGGACTCTGTGTGATTCCTGGATTTGTGTGACTTTTTCTTTTGTTAAATTAGGGAAATTTTCTCTCATTAGTCTTTCAAATATGTTTTCTATCCCTTGTTCTTCTTCTTCTTCTGGTATTCCTATTATTTGGATATTATTACGTTTCATATTGTCTTACATTTCTCTTAATCTCTCTTCATTCTTTCTGAGCCTCTTTTCCCTTTCCTGTTCTTTCTGTGAGATGCTTTCTACTTTTTCCTCCAATTCACTAATCCGATCTTCTGTTTCATCCACCCTATTTTTAATGCTTTCCACTGTGTTTTTTAATTCAGAAATTGTATTCTTCATTTCCTCTTGGCCCTTGCTAATAATTTCCATTTCCTTTTTCATGTTGATATAATTCACAGTGAGATCATTGTAACTTCCCTGTAGTTTCTGGTAGCTGATTGTGAGCTCTTTGAACTTCCTGATAACCAGTGCTTTGAATTCAGTATCTGATAGTTGACTTGCCTCTACTTCATCTAACATTCTTTCTGAGGATTCCTCCTTTCCTTTCATTTGGGGATTGTTTCTTTGTCTTCCCATTGTTTGTGACACTCTCCTTGTTAGCCTCAGCTTCTTAGATTAATCTGTTTTGACACCCTGGGTTTATGGTATGAACTTTTGTGGTGGAATGCCTGTGAATTTCAATGGTGCAGCCTCTTTTGGTTATCCTGTTGTTCTCTGCTTCCACCTACTCAAATATGTAGCAACTTGTGGCTTCTCTCCTACAACAATGTGCAATTTGTCTCTCTGACCCTACTTTTGGGAGGCCTCTTCTATGGGTCCAGCTCTGGTCTTTTCATATTTTCAAGTTGATTGTGTCTCTTGTGGGTAAAAGAAAGAAATGACAAGGAAAGAAATAAAAGGAAGAAAGAAAAAATGGTAGGGGAATGGAAGAAAGAGCAATAAGTTTAGAAAGAAAAGAAAAAGTAATAAAACAAAATCCGGGAAAAGAGGACAAAAGTATGGAAAGATGAAACAGTAATAAAGTTTAAAAGAAATAACAGATTACTTTAAAAAAGCAAAAAGATAAAGAAAAGGAATGGAGAAGGAAGAAAGGTAAAAAAAAAAAGAATAAAAATAAAATAAAGTAAAGTAAAAAACCAAAAACCAAAAAACACACAAACAAAAATAGTCTCTCAAAAACAACCTCAGAAAAGGAAATGTCACTTGTTGGCTTCAAACTAGCCGAACCGGTTTTTCTGGTTGCAGTTGGCTGAGGGTCGATTGTTGTAATTTTTTCAGCCAGCCCTTCTCAGGATCCAGACACTTGGCACCTCTCCCCAGCTCCCTACAATGGGGAACTAGGACTTTCTCGCAGCGCTCCCCTCCCAGGGGTTACTGCCATAGTCTGGTCTGTTGTGCTTGTAGGCACCTGCACAGGCCCAGTTGCCTGGCTCCCTCGGGATTGAGCACAGGCCTGCCCCCGTTCATTTGGGAAGCCCCAGACCCTCTGCCCAATCCTGGGTTTGCTGCCAAGTTGGGTGTGAAGCAGACCAGACTGCCGTGTCTACTGGATTCAGAGCCTTAGGCTGCACCTCTGAGTTCTCCTGGGCTGGCAACCACAGAGTCCTTGGTTGGGGCCCTTTGTCCTCCACACCCTCTCTGTAAACTCTATCAAACAAGTCTCTCCTGGCCCCCCACCTTGCTTGGCCAGAAAGGGAGGGGGTTGAGGGTCTCAGCTCTTTTCCCAGGACCCCTCAGTGCCGGGGGCTTCCAGATAGTCTGAGAGGGGTAGACTGGAAGCCGGGAGCCGATCTGAGGACTGGGTGCCGACCTAGAAACTCTGTGTGCTTGTCATGGCACGCTGCGTGGTGTGTATCCCTTCTGCTCCTGTGTTTGTCTGGGTCCCCTGGCCAACCTCTGGCAAAAAAAAACCTAGGGATGTAGCAGCACCACGCCGGGCGCTGGACCCAGAACTGTGTGCAGGCTGAAATCTCCTCTGCTCCCCTCTGGTTGGGTCTCTTGGCTGGTCCGGGCCCAAAAATCCTAGGGAGGGAGCTTTCTGGGCGCTGAATGTTGGCCTAGGCGCCCTCAGGCACTTGCCCAGACACACTGCGTGTGGAGCGACTAGTTCCCCAACTTGCTCGCAGGCTGAAGTTTCTTCCACACCTCTTTGCCTGGGCCACTCGGCCTGCCCGGCAGAAAAATCCCAGGGAGGGAGCCGTCTGGGCGCTGAACGCTGTCCCAGGCGCCTTTAGGCACTCTCCCAGACACAGTTCCCACCAGGTGCTGAACCTCCGAGCTATGCACAGACTGAAATCACCTCTGCTCCCCTCTGGTTGGGCCACTTGGCAGGCCCCGGCCCAAAAATCCTAGGGAGGAAGCCGTCTGGGCCGCTGAAGGCTGTCCCATGAGCCATTGGGCTCTCGCCACTGGGCGCCGGTTCCCCTACCCTGCACCAGCTGTTTCTCCCTGTTCCGTCCCAGAGACTAGTGTACCGCTGCTGTTTCCCTACTGTCTGGTTCCTCCGTGACCGATGAGGTCTCTGGTCTCTTATTTTCACATATGCTTGGCAACTGCTGGCTTGCTGGCCTCACCTCCTCCGATCGGATAGGTTTGTCTCTTTTGTACTAGGAACTGGTATCTGCTCCATCCTAGTCCACCGCCATCTTGAAAACCCCCACAAGTGTTTTTAATCAGTGCTTTTTAGCTTTATTTTCCATTGCTGGGGCCCTGGGTTGCATGGTCTGTCTTGCTCCCAGTTTTTGCATGGTTTATCAGTCTGGATGAATGGTTGTCGGACTTCCATACAGTTCAATTTTCTGTCAGTTCCGGTTGTTTTTTTGTTTCTAAATTTTTGTTGTCCTTAATTTTGGTTGTACAAGGAGGCAAAGTGTGTCTCCCCATGCCTCCATCTTTGCCGGAAGTCTAATTTCTTAATGATATCAAAAGTGGTACCCCTTGCTTGTTAATTACTGTTTTCCTACTTTTTGTTACTTGTGCTTTTGGTGTTATAACAAAAGAAACCATTGTCCAGCCCAAGTCGTAAAGATTTACTTCTGTTTCCTTCTAAAAGTTATTTTTAATTTTGGCTTTTATATTTAGGTATTTAATCCATTTTGAATTAATTTTTGTATTTGGTGTGAGGTAGGGGTTCAATCTCATTGTTTTGCATGTGAATATCCTATTGTTCCAGCACTATTTGTTAAAGAGACTATTCTTTCCTACTGAATTATCTGGGCATCCTTGTTGAAAATCAGTTGACCATAAATGTGAAGGTCTATGTGAAGGGCCGTGTATTCTATTCTGTTGCTCTATGCGTCCATTATTGTGCCATTACCACACAGTATTGATGACCATAGTTTTGTAGTAAGGTTTGAGAATAGGAAATGTAAGTTCTCCAACTTTGTTGTTGTTGTCCTTCATTTAATTCTTACCTGAGGATATTTTATTGATTTTATATAGAGGAAGGGAGGGAAAAAGAGAAGGAAGGAAGGGGAGGGGGAAAAGAGAGAAAGGGAAAAAGATATCAATATGAGAGAGAAACATCAATGAGTTGCTTCCCACACATTCCCTGACTGGGGACTAAACCCACAACCTAGGTACGTGCTCTGACCTGAAATCATACCCTCAATCTTTTTGGTGTATGGGGCAACACTTCAATCAAGTGAGCCACATGGCCATGGCTGTTCTTCACTTTCAAGATTGTTTTGACTATTCCAGATTCTTTGCATTTTCATCTGGATCATCTTGTTAATCTGCAAAGGAGCAAACTGGAATTTTGATAGGAGTTGTGTTGAATCTGTAGATCTGTTTGGGAGTATTGCTGTCTTAATGTTAAGCTCTTCTGTTCATTGACATGCTATATCTTCTTAGGTCCCCTGACTTCAGGGAGCCCTTTCTACCCTTTCTACCCTACCCTTTGAGGCTGCTTCATGGTTCTGAGAATTGTTTAAAATGTTGTTGTAGTAAAGTGTAAAGTAATGGTGTAAATGCTGCTGTGAAAACCCAGAGAACAATGCTGCTGAAACAGCTGTTGGATGATGGGTAGCCATTGAGTTTCTCAAAATGTTTCTGGTCACCTTCTGGTCAAAATTCTAAATGGAATATCAGAAAGACACTTTAAAAGTGTTACTGCTTGGAATGTGGGTTCTGAAGCTGATGGCACAGTGGCAAGAGTCACTCCTGCTTAATCAGGCCACCTTCCATGGGCAATCCCAGTAAAGTCCACAGGTCTCAAGACTTTTACTTTGCAGTCTACTGAGAATGAATCTAGGCCTCCTCCACTCCACCCAGCATTCTGCAACCCCTAGAAAAACAGGGTTTTTTAAATTGTATTTTTGGAATTTTTAACCCACGGAAAATATAAAACCATAGTACAGTCAATTCTCTCATCTGAATCCAAAATGTTCACTCTCAGCATTATGCACGCCTTCACAGAGTGTGAACCTGGTTTTACTTTGTAACTTTTTATTTAGAAGCAATATTAGTTGCAAAAGGGCTACAGATATAGTGTCATATACTCATGACCATATAACCATTTCCAAAACTAAGATGTTAGTACTGCCTCAGCACTTTTCTTCAGCTCTTACCAATTTGTTGCGTGTTTTTCCTAATGTTCTTTTTCTGTCCCTGGATCTAATTCAAGATCCTCATTGCTTTTAGTTGGTAGGTCTTCTTAGTTTCCTCCTATCTGCAACAGTTTATTGATCTTTTCTTATCCTTCATGATCTTGACAAATTTGGTGAATACTGGCTAGGCATATAGAATGTCCCTCAATTTTGGTTCATCTGATCTTTTCTCACAGTAACAGGGTTAGAATACCACAGAGGCAAATTCCTTTTGTAATCACAGCATATCCCCATGACTTGTTACTGGAGAGTTAACCTCAATCATTTGGGGAAGGTAGCTGCAGCCAGATTTCTTCATTGTGAAATTACAGTTTTTCCTTTTCAGACTTTATTTTTTGGAGTCAATGAGTCTAGCCTACTCTCAAAGGGAGGAAAATTGATTACCACCTACTAAAAAGAAGTATATCAGACAATTTTTGGACATTTGTTGAAACCACCATGTTAATTAGTAAATATTTTGGGGGAGATACTTGGAGCAACCTCCAAGTAGTCCTTAAAGCTCTGCTTATGGGTTTTAGTGTTTAGCACTGGCTGTTATCTGCAGCAGTTATCACTGTGGTGTTTCTGTAGTGACATTCTGTTCCTCTCATTTTTTCTACATTTATTAATTAGAATTATTCTGTAAGGAAGATTTCTCCCTATCTCCCATTTATTTTTTCCTAGACCTTACTTTTGATGGCACAGCAGGAGGCAGCATGGAATCTTGGGTAAAAGCAGGACTATGAGCTGCCAGCCATGGCTGGAAATTGGCTGTGCCACCTCCATCCCCACCCATTGGGTGGCTGTGAGGAGTAAATGGTACCAGGCAAGGGAATCACTTAGAACTGTTTTCAGTGACCAATAAGTGTAGGTAGTCATTTTTCTCCTTTACGTGGAAGTGTTATCACTTATACCAGTCTCCCAAAGTCAGCAAACAGACAGCTGGCAAAACCTAGATTTCTGCTGGCAGAAATGCGTGTGTTTATAGATTCATCCAATTGACTAAACATCCAATTGTTTATTAGGTACTTAACATAGATAGAAGCTATTAATACCTAAAAGCCACCTCATCTACCCCCTATTACAGGGATTTTTTACCCCATGGTGGAAATATGCAGGGATCACTTGCTCAAGGGCACCCTGTTTGTGAAGAGGCCAAGCTAAGCTTAAAACTAAATCTACCTGGTTCTGGGAGACTTGTTTTCTACCATCAGAGGGAAGGTAGTTTATATCACCATAAGGACTCCAGAAGGGCAGTGACCCGAAGGTCTGCTTTAGAAAGGTCCCCCAGTGTGCCTGAGTGCATAAGAAAACAAGACCCATACATATGCTGCCTATAAGAGACTTACTTCAGATGGAAAGACTCACAAAGACTGAAAGTAAAGGGATGGAAAAATACAGGGTGGGGCAAAAGTAGGTTTACAGTAACAAGTATGTGAAATATGGGGTTTATTCTTGTATTATTATTTATTAATTATTGTATTATTTTTTCATATAAACAACAGTAAACCTACTTTTGCCCAACCCTGTGTATTTCATGTAAATGAAAAAAAGATCTGGAGTAGCAGCACTTATAGAAGTTAAAATAGGCTTTAATAAAGGAAATAACACAAGACAAAGGACATTTTTAAATGATAAAGGGATCGGTTGAACAAGAGGATATAACCCTTGTAAATATTTACACAACTAACATAGGAGTACCTACATATATAAAGCTTAAAAAGTTAGAGATCAAATAGTGGCAGTATTTGTACATGACATTAACGCCATTGACATCAATGAATAAATCATTGAGAGAGAAAATCAAAATGGAAAAAAAGGTCCTAAGTGATAAATTACATCAAATGGGTTTGACATTTTTCAGAACATTTCACCCCAAAGAAGAAGAATATACCTTTTCCTCAAGTGCACATGGAACATTTTCCAGGATAGATCTCATATTAGGCAACAAAGCAAGTCTCAATAAATTTGAGGAGACTGAAATCATATCAAGCATCTTCTTTGATCACAATGGACATCCTTGTCTTCTCCCCAACCATAAATGGACTGGGCGTGGAACTGCTCCACTAGACTAATACTTGCTGTATGTTTCTGTACCATAGCTTTGTCACACCTAGTATTTCTTGAGACTTGAAATGGTTGTAATTATTTGGTGATAATAATTTCAAAATCATGAAATCTACACTTTCTAGTAGACCATTACAAAAAGGTGAGTGAATTGATCTTAGAGTAGAAATCAATAATAAGAAAAAAAAAACAGAAAAACACACACGAAAATGGAGGCTATATAATATGCTACAAAACAATGAATGAGTTAACAACAAGATGAAGAAAGAAATCAAAAGATACCTTGATATAAATAAAATGAAAACAAATCTATGGGACACAGCCAAGGCAGTACTAAAAGGGAAATTTATAGTGATACAGGCCTACCTCAAGAAACAAGAAAAAGCTAAAATAAACAATCTAAACTCACACCTACAGGAACTAGAAAAAAAAAACAAATGAATCCTCAAATGAGTAGAAGGAAGGAAATAATAAACATCAGAGTGGGAATAAATGAAAGAGAGCCTAAAAAATAGTACAAAAGATGAATGAAACCAATAACTTGTTCTTTTAAAAAAATAAACAAAATTGATAACCCTTTAACCAGACTTGTAAAGAAAAAAAGAGAGGACCCAAATACAATCAGAAATGAAAGAGAAGTGACAGTTGACACCACAGAAATACAAAGGATTATAGGAAAATACTACAATTATATTCCAACATATTGGACAACTTGGAAGAAATGGATAAATTCCTAGGGAAATAAAATCTTCCAAAATTAAATCAAGAAGAAATAGAAAATTTGAACAAACCAATATCTACCAGAAATTGAATCAGTAATACAAATACTCCCAACACACAAAAGTCCTGGACCTACCGTAACTGGTGTGGTTCAGTAGGTTTAGCATTGTCCCATAAACCAAAAGATTTGATTCCTGGTCAGGGCACATGCCTGTGTTGCAGGCCAGGTCCCTGGTTGGGGGGATGTGAGAGGCAACTGACTAATGTTTCTTTCCCTCTCTTTCTCCCTCCCTACCACTCTCTCTAAAAATAAATAAATAATCTTTTTATAAAGTCCCTGACCTGATGGCTTTATAGTTGAATATTACTGAACATTCAAAAAAGAACACCTTTCCTTGTCAAAATATTTTGATAAATTCAGGAGTAAAGAAGGCTCTCAAGCTCACTATATAGTGAGCCAGAATTACCCAAATTCCAAGACCATATAAAGATATTACACACAAAAAAGAAAATTGTAGGCTAATGTCCCTGATGAACATGATGCAAAAATCCATGACAAAATATTCACAAACTGACATAACCAATACATTAAAAGTTGCACCATGATCAACTTGGATTCACTCCTGGAGTGCAAGGTTGGTTTAGTGTCTGCAAGACAATTAATATGATAACCCACATAAATAAAATGAAGGATAAAAAATAATATTATCACATCAATAAATACCGAAAAACTTTTTCACAAAATCCAACATCCATTTATGATAAAAATTCAGTAAAGTGGCATAGGAGGAGCATACCTCATCATTTTTATGGCCACATATTACAAACCCAAAGCTAAAATAGTCAATGGGGAAAGCAAAATGTATTTTCCTTAAGATAGGAATGAGACAAGGATCTCCACTTATTTAGCAGAGTATTGAAAATTCTAGCCACAGCAATCAAACAACAAAAAGAATGATATTAAATTTGAAAAAGAAGAAGTAAACTGCACTGTTTGCAGATGACATGATACTATCTATATAGAGTTAACCCCACAGACT